TGACTCATGGACTTCAACTTCCACAATTCCTGAGCCACCATGGCTCAGCTTGGAAACCTCTCCCTTTCCCCTCAGCATGGCTGGCTCAGGAATTCTGGGAGTTGAAGTCCACGAGTCATAAAAGAGCCGAGGTTGCCTACCCCTGCATACAGTTCATACATAATGTCTATTTTCCTGTAAAAGGCTTGTGAAGATTAACTGGCCCAAAGTCATCCAGATGTTTTCATGCTTAAGAGAAAACCAGAACTTACATTTTCTTGCTTTTAATAAAACACTTTAACCACAATTGGCTGTCAGATTTATCCGGTCATTATTCAAAAGATTTTAATATGGGTTTTAAACAGGCAGAGTCTGCAACAACTGTGATACTGAAGAGCTTCACTCTTTGGGGCATGTATGCAACATCATGACCCAAGGAAAATGGGGGTAGGTATCATGGTACAACTGCTGACATCCACCTGGCTCCCTTGCCCCTGCCCTATGGACACTGCGTATCCCCAAATTAAAGAAAAGATTGTATTTATGATTCCTGTACTTGAAACATCACAATTTATCTATTGTATTTGGGAGTTTAGTTTCTCAAACTAAGTAGGATTAACTTTGATGTCCAAGTCACCAAAGATAACCAGAAGATAAATTTAGATTTAGATTTTTATGGCAGGAAAATGAATGTGTGTTTTATTATTAGCATTATTACATCTATTTCATCTGTATTTTCATCAACAGTTCAAATATATATTCCTTAATACATGAAAATAACAAACCAAGGCTTTCACGCATATATAATTACAATTATAATTGTAAACAGCCCAGATTTGATGAATTGGATAGCATATAATTTAAGAAAGTATAGTTAGTCACATAGCCAGGTTTAGATTAAATTTGTCATTTTTCTTCATCTATCCAATATTAGTATCAATAAATAAATGCATTAATATATTATTATTATTATTATTATTATTATTATTATTATTATTATTATTATTATTATTAACAACTCAAAAGAGAATACATTGGGTATTCCAAACTTTAAGTTGCATTGCAAAGCCACATAGATGAGAAATATTGTAAAAATGGTAGGAACGGCATAATCCAAGTGACAGTTTGCCATGGAACTTTAAAAGAGGATTAAAAGTCTCTCCTTCTGTGCTGATTATACTAAAGAACAATCAATTCTACTTCTAATCCAGTGGTTCTCAATCTTTTTAATGCTGTGACCCCCAACCGGTCTATTCAAGAGAGTCTATTCTATTGGCTTTCAAAAGCCAATAGAATAAAAGGGAATAGCACAGCTAAGGAAAAGGGGAAAAAAATGGCGGACTGCGTTGTTTGGCGACCTCCGTGAAATGGTCGTTCGACCCCAAATGGGGTCCCGACCCACAGGTTGAGAACCACTGTTCTAATCCATTTTACATCAACAATGGAAATCTGACAAAGGCGCAACCTCACTTTTCTCCCTCCATTTTAGCACTTTTATTAGTTGCAAATCATCCTCATTGGTGAGTCCACCCAGTATTCCATTGCAGCCTCCTCAAACCTGAAATTACATCTTAGATGAGCCCCACAGTACCTCAATCGCCCGAACCCCCTCATGATCGGAGGTGAACACTTCAAAATTAAAGAAGTGTTCACCTCCGATCATGAGGGGGTTCGGGCGATTGAGGTACTGTGGGGCTCATCTAAGATGTAATTTCATTCCCGTAAGCACCGAAGATACCGTATTTACTCGCATGGACTTTCCCCCTTCCGAAACTGAGTGGGTTGACTACGTTAAAGCCGCCAGACTCCTAAAATGCTTCCATAATCAGTGTCCCAGTAACCTTGCCATTTAATTATCCTGTGCTTCCCTCTCTCTCCCTTTTATTATTTTTTTGCTCTGCAAGACTAGCGTCTGTGTTCAAGGTGGGGCAATATATCAGGTCCACCATCACCGGCATGTGCCTTGCTGCTGTCCTGCCATTAAGAAAGGGGGAGGGAAGGGGGGTTTATTGGGTACTACTGCTGTAACGTCCAAGGCCGTTTGCCCTGAGAATGGAATGTTACCAGTTTGACACCTCAGAATTTCTCAAAACATCTTACGGGCATCGCATTGGCTGGCCAAGGGACTAGTCATGGGGGGGAGGGAGTGGGAAAAGGAAAGAATAGCTTTGTATTTTGAGCGGGAACACCAGATTCCGTCTGACTTTACTGCAACCCGTTTCTTTCAGTAGACGTTCCTCTACATCAGTGGTTCTCAATCTGTGGGTCAGGACCCCATTTGGGGTAGAACGACCATTTCACGGGGGTCGCCAAACAAGGCGGTCCGCCATTTTTTTCCCCTTTTCTTTGGCCACGCCCCTGGCACCCGGTGATGTATAAGTGGTTGGGGGTCACCACAACATGGGGAACTGTATTATGGGGTCACAGCATTAGAAAGGTTGAGAACCACTGCTCTACCTCAACCAAATGGAGGCACAAGTCTTACTTTCCTGACTGGGGAAGACCTGACACAAAAATTGTGAAGAGTGTGGGTATATATGGAATGGCGAGTGCCACTTGATTGGCTAAGGAGGCAGAGAAAAGCCAACGGAGTTCTTTAACCTGATCACGGTCATAGTAGTGTGTTTCAAGCAGCTGACTGGCCACAGAACGCTGCAACTGTAGTAGCAACTTGCTTGCTACACCTTGCTTCCTTGATCTTTTAAGTTTTCTTCCCTTCTCCTTCAAACCTTTGGTTTTCTTTCCTATGCTTTGTTTTGGTACTCAGCCTGAAGACAGAGCTGAGGGGAAAAAGCTCTTTCTCTTATGCAGCCTGTAAAAAAGTGGGGAGATAAACTGCATTAGAAGATGAACAATTTCAATTCTGGCTTCTGGTCAAAATTCTATAATTCTATAATTAATCCTCTTTCTTGGCTCTATCTGCAGGTGCAAAGAATGGTCAAACTGATGAAATATTAAGCGATTGGCTAATCCTGCTCAGGCCTCTTCAATCTTTTTCAATCAGCGAAATTCCTCTGGAAAAAAGGTTTGCATTATCAGTATTAGTTCTCCATAAATATATTTAAAATATTTTTTTATATAAGCATTATATAAAAATTAACTTGAAAGGCTGCTATAACTGTAGTACTTCCAAGAGCCAGCATAACTGAAGTACACTGTGCAATTTGTTTATGATATAAAATTCACTGGCAGCTACCCCAGTGGTAGAAATGTCTTAAGAAAAAGTTGGACAATCTGTAGCTTGCATGGTGCCCTCAGAAAAATGCAAGCAGGCCTATCTGGTTTTCCTGTCACAGTGTTTCTCATCCTTGACAATTTTAAAGCATGTGGACTTCAACTCCCAGAATTCCACAGCCAACATTGCTGGCTGTGGAATTCTGGGAGTTGAAGTCCACATGCCTTAAAATTGTCAAGGTTGAGAAACACTGTGCTAGCAAGTACCGTAGATCAGTCTACCAATGGAGAAGAAATTGTAGCAGAGAAGTGGGGACTTTCAGCAGCTCTGCTTAAGAAGAGCACAATGTTTTCCCCTTGGCTGGTGCTGAAAACTGAACTGAAGAAGCTTCTTGGTTGAATGAGAAGCCAAACATCTTCAAGGGGGGAAAAAAAAAGTCCTTTTGACAAAATACTTTTGGGACAACCATGATCTGGATGTTGGAGACTTTCCATAGACATTTGCTGAAATCTGTATTTCCCAGAACAGCTGGAAATCAAATTCCTGGGAGTGAGGAAAATTATCTCCCTTAGCTCAAAAACTTCCTGAAGGGAACAGAATGGATGTGCGAAGGCGTTTCCATGCATTCACAGATCGACTTTATTTATTTTACGGTGACCAACCGTCCTCCTTTTGTAAGTTCTGTCCTCTCTTGAAAAGTGTCCTCCTACATGTCCTCCTTTTCGATATTTGAAGACTAATCTGTAAATCTCCGTATTCAATCGATGCCAATCCGATCCGTTGCGTGTGATGTGACATATTTGTATTTGACATGACAATTCGTCAAGGCTCGGTACAGTGTGGTTAGACGTGATTATGAGATGCATGCGCTCCGCACAGGAGAATTGTTTTGAGAGAGTGCACCGCGCACAAGAGTGCGCTGCAGGCAAGTGGCTTTGTTTACTTCTTACCAAAACACAACACAGCACAATTTATTTGTGTCCTCCTTCTCATTGTAAAAAAGTTGGTCACCTTATTTATTTATAAAATTTATTTGCCACAACGTCTCTAGGGAAACAACCTACTCTAAAGAAGGCTGCTGACCTGTCTTAGAGCAGCTATGTACTGTATTTTAAGGAAGCAGAAACCAGCATATTGTCAACGAAGGGATTAATGACTCACGCATTCTGATTTCTACTAGCTGCCAGCACCATAGGTCAAATTAAGGAGAAAGATTAAAACACAGAGAGAAGACTGTCTTGTTAAGTGCTTCAATTTAGCATGCTATCATTAATTTGCTCCTTATATAACGAGCCTCTAAGAGAAAAGCTGCAAACTCAAGAATAGACTGTCTTGTTAAGTGCTTCAATTTTGCATGCTATCATTAATTTGCTCCTTATATAACGAGCCGCTAAGAGAAAAGCGGCAAACTCAAGAGTAGCAAAAAAAAAAAAAAAAGGCCTTGAATCGTTTTCACCTCTGCACTGACTGACTAGTGCACAATTTCAGGCGCTTTTATTCCACATTTTCACTTCATGAATGACTATATTCACAAAGTCTGCTTACTGATCCGAAGGGAGCTTCAAATGGAAACAAGGAAACAGGGAGCGGAGTGCATTAGCTTGTTTACAGAAGGAGGCACCCGAGCCCCACTAATTGGGACATTTCCCCCCTCCCATAAAATAGCATCATTATTGTTATTATTATTATTAAAGAAGCAAAGATCCAGCAAACTAGAGGCAGGGACACGCCCTGTGAGAGAAACCTGGAAAAGGAGGGAAAACGGCCGTCTCTGCAAGGGATGGTCTCTTGCCGCCTCAGACGGAGCCCTTCTTCCCGGCTCGGCCTCCCTTATCCCTGCACTCGCCTGGAATGTGGCTAAGAAGCCCGGCGTCCCCTCCGACCACCAACGCGCAGTTAGGAGAGCAAAATGGAGACGGGCGAGGCGAGCCTGTTCCGCCCTTTCCTGGTCCGAGGGCAGGAACGTTTCCGCCCCCGCCTGCCTTCCGCCTTCTCTGGGCAACGCGAAAAGCGAAAGCGGCTCCGGCGGCTTCGCCTCCGGAAATACGAACTTCGGCATTCGGCTCCGCATCCCTGCCCGTCCTCGCCCCGGCGCGGAGGAGCGCGGAGAGGCCGGCTGCGCTCCCTCTCCTCTGGGACAGCGACTTGGAGCGCTCATCGTCCTCGAAGGAGTGCAGCGCTGCCGCAGACCCTCTCTTGGGAAAAAAGCAGGTGCTGGATCGGGAATCCACCCTGTGATTTTAGGCCCTGCGTTCCCCCATTCGGGAGAGAAAGGGGCACTTGTCTGGTCAAGCTAAGGATGCGTAATTGGCCGCCCGCAATTTTGCTTGTTATAGTGAGATGAAAACTTTACGTTTTGCTTCAGCGTGAATAGATTCTATTAAACCGAGGAAAGAGGATTTATCTAAATGTTGTTGTTGTTTCTTTTTTTGCAAGGGAGCCAGGGGGAAATCCACTGAAATAAAAGCACACTTGGCACATAGCTATAGATCTGCTCTTCTTGGCAATGCTGTGCCATCAAGGTTTTGAATCAGATGTGCAGGTAGTCCTCAGTTTACAGCCAAAGTTAAACCCAAAATTTCTGTTACTAAGCGAGAGAGTTGTTTTGCCCCATTTTACCATCTTTCTTGCAAATAATAATAACAACAACTAGGAACTGCTTTCATCCTGCGACGATATCTGTAATAACATCAAACATCCACATCTGCCTATCCCAGGTCCTTGGTAAGGACTAGATAGGTAGACAAAAATGCCAAATCCAGTTTGAACATCTGGCTGACTGTGCAATGATCCATAATAATAATAATAAAGTTGGAAGGGACCTTGGAGGTCATCTAGTCCAACCCCCTGCTCAGGCAGGAAACCCTGTACCATTTCAGACAAATGGCTGTCCAGTCTCTTCTTAAAAACTTCCAATGTTGGAGCATTCACCGCTTCTGGAGGCAGGTTGTTCCATTGGTTAATTGTTCTAACTGTCAGGAAGTTTCTCCTTAGTTCTAAGTTATTAAGTGAATCATTGCAGTTATTCAATGAATCTGACTTCCCCAGTAACTTTGCTTGTCAGAAGGTTGTGAAAGATTATCACATGATCATATATATATATATATATGCCAGTTGCCAAACATCTGAATTTCGATCATGTGACCATGGATCAAAGGCAAAGAAGCAGGCATTACCAAATTAAACACCATCTGGTTTAGCGTTCTGTTCCCATAGCAGTCAATCAGTATCTGTGGAAAGGGCCAGCAATAGTACCTCCCACTTATATTCATCACGGAAGAGAAAAATCTTGAACAAGACCAGATCTTTAAGACCAAGATGCCAATTCTATTCCCCTATCTGGCAGTATTACTACATCAGGAGCTGTGTACAGGGAAATAATGTTTGGTTTATAATTCAAATTCCAAACACATCTATAGAGCGTCAATCCACAGTAGAACTATTATTCACGTAAGACTTCATCCCTGCATTAATCACGACTAGACCATCTTCCACTTTCTCACTAGATAGCCAAGTTCCCAAGCATCTTCTCCTGAAAGGAAAATCCTTAAAGTAAGGATATCTGCTGTTGCTCAAGAAAAAGGATTAAACTCCCCCTCATGAGTCTCTCCTTCCTTGAAACCATCACTCCATAACAGAACAGTCATTGTTTACATTTCCTCCAGGTAAAGGAATTTCCCGGGACTCAGGATGCTATTTTCATCTAAGCACATGACCTACAATTTCTGCTGGCAAGTTGTGGTACTGGGATACAAGAATGCATTCATTAGCTTTCACAGCCTTGTTAATTTTCTGCACTCATAGCACAGTTGAAACATTGTTTATTGGAGAACAATTCTCCTTCTGCCTTGCACTTCAACAAAATCTTGTTGTTCATTATTTTTTTTTATCAACTTCAGTCCCACAAGTCTCTTTCCTAAAAGAAAGTAATCTGTAAGACAGGGAATGCGACAGAGATTAACTTTTTTTTCCTATAATGCCTATTCCTACACCCATCCAAATCCTAAACATACCATGTAGAAGTGAAAGAAACTTGGTCATTTACTAACAAGAAAGCAAGGCTATTCGTATATTTTGAATCACATTTTGAAAAGCTTATTATTTTTAATTAAATTATTCTTTCTTTCGCGCTTGAAGCTGATAAATATTTTCAAAAACAAATTCAAATATATTTCCCTAGTAGAAATCAAGGATCCCTACACATTTATAGAACTATGTTAATAATATACAAGCAAGACAAGAGCTTAGCAATTCCTTGATCGTTTTTAATGATGATCACCTTTCTGACTATACTTAGAAGAGGAAAAAAAACTGATGAGAAAGATTAATTCAGCAGTCACTTCAGAAGATAGAATCCAATTACAAAGTCTAGACTGTGCAAAGAAGTTCCACTGTTTTTTTAGGTTGTCTTGTTAATAGATGGTTAAGATTTCATTACAGGTTTAAGATCTTTTCATTGAGTGCAATCTGTGACTGGGTAAGATTTGCCAAATAGGTTACCATCAGCAGGTCCTAAGGAGAAAAAAAATATATATTTAAGATTCCTTACATTGTGCAACACTGTTCAATGGAAACATTAGAAACAAATCTGTAACTTTGTCCATTCACACATACCAATAAACAAACATATTTTTAAAACTTCCAATTCTAGTGGCATAAATGATCTAGAGGGAATTGAAGGGGAACTCATCAAATATGCAGATGACACTAAGCTAGCAGGAATAGCCTACACCCCAGAAGACAAAACTCAAGATCCAAAACAATTTTCAGACTTGAACACTGGGCCCTATCTAACAAAATGAAATTCAACATAAATAAAAGTAAGGTTTTATATTTAGGTAGGAAAAACTAGCTGTATAGGTCAGTGGTGGCGAACCTATGGCACGGGTGCCCGAGGCGGCACTCAGAGGGCTCTCTGTGGGCACGCGCGCTGTCGCCCCAGTCCTAGGCCTTCATCTGGGTTTTATAAAACCTTTTCGCTTTAGGCCTCGCCGTCATGTGCAAAAAAAAAAAAAAAGGTTCAATCAATCAGTCAATTTCAACTTCTTACGGGAAAAAAGATCTTGCAAAGTTGGAATTGATTGAACTTTTTAATCCCAACCAGTCTGCTGTTACCACCACAGCCACGCCCACCCAATGGGCCACACCCACCCGGCACTCGACGATGCATAAGTGGGTTTTGGGTTGCAGTTTGGGCACTCGGTCTCTAAAAGGTTCGCCATCCCTGGTATAGGTACAATGTTTTAAATGGCAATGTCATAGCCTTTATTTAACATTTACACCTTGTAAGTTTAGTAAACAAAATGTGTAGAGCATGTTTTTGAACCTTTGGCTTGCCTGGATGCACTGAGTGAAGAGGAATTGTCTTGGGCCGCATATAAAATATATAGTTAATGTACATAAATAACAAACATCCTTTATTTTTTTATTTTTTACAATCCTGTGGGGCCGCATAGCTAGCTATCAAGGGCTGCATACAGCCAATAGAGTCATGGGTTGGACACCCTGGGGTACAGTATCGGAAGCCAAGGGGGAGACCTTAAAATCCTAACACAAGAGAAGAAATATAATATCACAGATTATCACTGAAACTTTGTGGCAGTATAGAACTTGAAAATATTGCTCAGGCCAGAGATATGGAGAAGGATTTTTGTTGTCAGACAATCAAATTTCCTAAGAGGCATGTGATAGTAACAACAGAATGTTTCAGCCGTCTTCACAAATGATGGAAATCTAACTCTTATCCAGAATCAGAGGCCAAATTTCTATTTTCCTGCTGACATTTATCTTTTTTCCACAAAAGGGTCTGCAATCCTAGATATCATCTTAATTAACTTGGAGGAACTACTGGAAAAAGTGAAAGTGACTGGAACTCTAAGAACAAGTGATATATTAATCTTTCATGATATCAAGGGACAGGGAATGGAGAAAAATCAAGTATATGGAATTTTAGAAAAACAGATTTCAATGAATTCAGGTGGAAAGTCCAACAGTTTAAAATGAGAAAAGAATCTGGGAATGATAAAAACTTCTTCAAAACAAGACATTAAAGATGGAATTCCTACGAGTAAGAAAAATAGGAAACATCTAAAGAGACCAGTATGGATACACATAGAGCTTTCTAAAATGGAAGGAAATGGAAAAAGGTGCATAATAACCAAAGATACAGTTGCCAGAAAGTGTTAGAAAGGCTAAATATATGAGAAATATATGAAGTTAAGAATATAGTGAATGTTGTTAATATAAATTATGATAGCCTATAAAGATTAATAAGTGCAAACAGAAATATATATTACTTCCCACAGCAAGGAAAAAAGATTAAATTGATTGCTTTATTCAATGAAAAGAACATGTCTAATTTTGTTTCCACTGGGAAACCACTTCTGGATTTTATGCTTGAGATGGAAAAAATGAAACTCTGATTTTGGTTTTGCTGATTAAATACATTTCTTGTTCTAGAAATGGCTAGTGTAAAAGTAAAAGTATTACTGAGTAAAAGTAAAAAGTTGAGGCTGTAATGTTATCTTCGACTGTGCTAAAAACAGTCAGAAATCAACACCTTTTTTTCTCTTCCTCCTCTACACTACACTCTCTTCTTCCATTTTTTTCTTCCCCTAGTTTTCCATTGTTTTTATTTTCCTTTATTTTTTATATTCTGATAAACTAATAAAAAATTGAACTATGTACATGAACAATATTTTCAAGCAGATTATTAAGCATGAAATGATTTTATTTTATTTTTCAACTAAATGGCTGCTCTATAGAAGAGGGAACTGTTTTCAAATCGATAGGATACGATAGGATAGGAGCTGGAAGAGACCTTGGAGGTCTTCTAGTCTAGCCCCCTGCTCAAGCAGGAGAACCTATACCATCTCAGGCAGGTGAATGTCTAGTCTCTTCTTTAAAATCTCCAGTGATTTTAAAGAAGTGATTTCTGGAGGCAAGTTGTTCCACTGGTTGATTGTCCTCACTGTCAGGAACTTTCTCCTTAATTCCAGGTTGCTTCTCTCTTT